AAAGACCATGTGAAACAGTTTTAAACTTTAAAGGCTTTTCTTCTGGCGTGTGATAAAACAAATGTTGTACCATTTGTGAGCACATCTATGCTATAGTTGTGCACCCATACATGAATAGTTTTAAAAAATGTCATGCCCTGTGGAAGTTTTCTAGTTTTTTTATTCCATATTGTGAAATAAGTAGATCATATTTGTTTACAAAGCACCCAGATATAAACAGGTAATGGTAGAGAGCATTAATAGATGTTTTGTAAGGTGAACAATTGAATTCAGCAAGTAGAGCATGATGTGCCTTTTCCCTAGCCTGATGGTTAGGGCATTTATTGGTAGGACTTTAAACAGCCATCAGTGATTACAGAATTACTCTTGGAATAGGTACCAGTCAATAATCTCCGATTTATTTATCTTTAAGTGTTTGGTATGGGGAAGCTATGAATTAAGGAATTATTTTGCCCAAATAACTTGAGACATCTGCCGCTCTGTAGTCTTGTTGTCAGGGAAGGAATATTGGATGAAATCCTATTTACTCTGTAAGTGTTAATTTGCTCTCGTTATCATTCCATCTGTAAGCTATTCATACTTTTATATAAAAGTACATGCTTGTGTGGTGGGAATTAACATGCCTAGAATTTCTTATCAGAAAGTTAGCATTGATATAATTGTCCGCTCCTAAAATAACCCAAGCACAGAAGATGGAGGGGCAGGCTACTTGTAAGTCATTTTGTATGATACTATAATGCTCATCCTGCATTAACTTCCTCTGCTGGAAGAGACAATGTCTTATCTTGGTTCAGCAAGGTCTCTGGAGTCTTCCTGTTTTGTTTTGTTTGGGTTTTTTTTCCCTTTAAAAAAAAAAGTTTTGCATCTACATATTTTATGTAAAGCAAACTTGCAGTGCATGACAGCAGTATATGAAAAGGCTTGCTACTCGGGCCAAAAGGGAAGAGCTTAAATATTCTTCCTTTGACCCACTCTGTTTTGAAGCAGTAGTGGGACTGGGACCATAATGAGAATTTGTAATTACTATGCAAGAAAATTGCTCTGGCAAACGGTAGTATCCTGACCCTTAGACTTCTGTGTGGGTATTTGGTGCATTCTTGAAATCAAAATAACTTATTGCCTGTATGCTAATTACTGTAATGTTAACAAGGAATCTGAGGTCTGCAGTCCTCAAGGAGCTGCTGCTTACTGTCTAGGAGCTCCTCCGGTGGCATTGTATAGAGGTTATAGTGGGAATCATGGTGCCCTTCGAATCTTGGGGGACTGGCACTCGGGGTGAATCGTCTGACCTGTTGAGTGATCCTCAGTGAGTCCTGCTAGTTACGCTTACCTGAGCTGTGTGCGTCCAAAGCAAAATGGCCCCCCTAGGCCCCCTTCAGCCTTCTAGGTGTTACTCGGGGACGTTAATTAGTTGCTTAAGACAGATGTCTTCATCAGAAGAGCTGATAGTTTAGTTGTCATGCAGAATTGACTTATATATAGGATGAGGAAAACCACAGTCAGCTGTTCCCACAGCAGTCCTTTCACAGGAGTAGGCGAGTGGCAGCATACTGAAAAACTTGGTATTTCCAGGGGCTGGTTCTTTCAGACAGGTCAGTTTAATGTAAGGGAGCAAATTCCCCTCCTTGTAAGGAGGGACCAAATGGCACTTTATATCTAGGCTCCCTTTCTTAAAATGCTTGCAAATCTGTCTCTGAACTGGTAGTAGCTTTGGACCTTTCAAGACTGAAAATCTTTTTGTCTAGATATGGCTAAAATGCTGCTGGAAGTAGTCCAGAGCACAGAAGCCTAAACCTTTGCTCTTTCCAAAATAGTATCAGGATGGTGCCTTTTTTTTCCTTTGGGGGATGTCAGCCTGCTTGGCAGGTCGAAGATGCAATGGGATTCTTTGTCACGCATCAGGATTGACTGAGGTAGTGGAGTTTCAGACAAGGTATCTAGGCTTCAGTCAAATTTGGACAGTATCAAAATGCCTTTGGTCTAGGGATTTTGGCCTTGAAATTTTTGACGTTGGGACTTTGTTCTATTCCGTATAGATACGTGAGAAGAAACCCTTCTGAAAATACTTGGTTGAAGAAGACAGCGATGTGACAAATATGGAGAGGGAGCAGTGAGAATAATGCTTGTAAGGTTGTGTTGTTAAAGGCCAGCAGTACACATCGCTTGATGGTTTAGTCAGCAGGCTTACCTTTAAATATGCACAGAACTTTTAG